ATCTTCTTCAAATAATTCTTCAGATAGTTCAGATCAACAATCAATATTAGAGTCTTCAGTCTTCAGAATCTTCTGGAAACTTCAGAGCCTAAGATGTTCTTCAGATGTTGATGAATCAGAGTCTGGTGCAGCTGTGTGCTTGAAGCGTAACATGCTCTTAGATCAGAGTCTTCACTCAGATCAGAGTCTTCTCTCATTCAGAGTCTCTTCACTCAGAGTCTTCTTTCATTCAGATTCTTGATAATATAAGCAGCGTGTTGTATCTTCAGAATCTTGATGACTAAGCTCTTATACTTCAGATTCTTCTAATCTTCAGATGCTCTTGAGCCATTCAGAGTATATTGTTCACATCAAATTTGCTCTTTAAGATTAAAATCTTTTGTGCCTGTAGAAAACAGTTTAGAACAAATTTAGAGAGTATAATTCTTGTATACAAATTATCATTAATGTTATCATCAAAACATAGAGATATTACTAAGACACAATCTGTGCTCTTACATTATCCATGGTTGCTTGAATTGAAAGTAACATAATCCAAATTGAAAAGGAAAAGTGTAAGGGAAATTTCTCCAATGTTCTAGGAGGTTCTAATGCAACCTATATATTCATGCAAGCTGATTCATGCAAGGGTTGGTGCTCCCATTTGTCAAAAATCTCCATTTTCATCCATTCTCTTATTCTTCCATAAGATACTCAAACTCTCACAAACCTCTCAAAATTCTCACATATTTGGATTGAATCATCATCATCATCATTCAAACCCTAGGATTCACATCAAGAAGTGGTTGAATTGATCAAGGATTATACCTATTATCTTCTTCACTCCAACTTGCATGAAGGATGGAATAGCATGATTCACAAGGATTAAGCACAAATCATTGCAAACAGAAGCATATTCAGTCATTGGAGATCGTTTTCAGCAAGTATCAAAGGTTGAATTGAGGTCTAACTACCATCACCATCATCAAGTGCAAGGTAAGTAAACTTCTTCGAATCTCACTGTTCTGGCTGGTAGAGATCATGTGGTTAGGATAATGTTGTTTAGAAACCCTAGAGGATCAATTCTTGAAGCTTAGGGATAGATTCATGGAGATCCATGACAGGTTACCATTTCTGTTGGCTTCGAGAATAAGCTGTGTGTTGAGTTATAATCAATGTGATGAAGCATAGAATAATGAGGCAAGCATGTAGAATATCTGTGGATCATCAGGTTTGAGTTCTGGCAACTTTGACCTCAGGCAAGCATGGTGTGCCCTGAATTTCGTGCTCTCTGTTTGGAGTGTACAATGAGAGTTAGGGAAAACTAGAATTAGACATGGATTCCTTGAGTTTTGTAGGGTATTTTAGGGCTTGGAGTTGTTATTTTTCATCAAGAAAGCATGGAGAACGAGTGGGTGGAACCTTCGTGCATGGAGTGCATGACTGAAAACCCTAGGCGCTGGAGGTTGAAGAAGGGTGGAGAGCCGTACGATGGAGGTTGGACTCTTGACTGGGAGTATCATCCAACGGCCCACGTTTGATCTGAGTTTTGGTGGGAGAATTTGAAATCCCGAACGCACCGTTTCATTAATTGGGGGGATTGGGCTCAGATAGCTATCCACACCCCCCAATTTCATAAGCCCAACGCGCTTAACTTGGTTTTCTTGCTTTTCTCACCCCCTCCATTTTATTTCTTTATATTTTCTTTTATTTTCTTTAATTTTTTCATGCATCTTCTAAAATTCATAATAAATAGCAAAATCATCATTTTTAATTCATTCTTTTTGCATTATTTTCTTTAGGATGTCTAGAAAATTATAAAAAATAAAAATTGCATTTTATTTTTAATTTGATATTTTTCCCATATTTTCTAAATAAATGACATTTTAAATGGTTTCATTTCATACATGATTTTATTAATTTTTGTTCTATTAGATACTTTCATATTTTTCATCCATTCTTTTTAGGTTGTTTAGGTTAGACATTTAACTTGTAGATTCAATTTAGTTCCCATTTTTAGAAATTAAATTTAGATGCTTAGTGTAAGTGTGAACAACATTGACAAATTAGGGTTTTTTAGGTGATAACCTATGAGATTTGATTCTTTTCCCTTAGGACTTAGGGTTTGACTAGTTTAGTTATGGGACTATAGGGGCTATGGGTAGTTATTAGATCCCCTTAGAAAAAGTTAGGATTCCCCTACTGCTATTAGTATGTTGTATATCTGATTGACTGGTGTGGTGTGCCCTCCGGGGATTATTGCTTGCTTGCTTGGGTATTGGGGTTGTCTGGGAACTTGGGAGAGCTGAAGACTTGAGGAGATGAAGGCCATTGGAGATCCAGAGATTGAAGATCAACTGCCAGAGTTGAATAGGAGGTTATTGCTAGCAGCTGCTGAGGAGACTAGGGTCTAGGAGCTAGGCAGAGCTCTAGATTAGAAAGCTTGCTTCTCAAACATAGATGGCTTTGTTTGCCTCTATCCTTTCTCTATGATTCAAAGTCTCTTTCAAATATCCACCTCCTTCCTTTGGAAGGATCAGTGAATATATTTGAAAGATAGAACTTTTGAGAGGAAACTTTCTGTTTAATGTTAACAGTTGATGAACCACCCTTGGTAGGTAATTAACTGTCTAACATTCATTCACCTCATCTGGTTGACTGATGTTCATCCTAGAGCCTGAGACTTGAAGAAAAGCCATTGCAGATGGAAGGTAGATGATCAAAGCCCTTACCTGAAGGCCATGAAGATAGAGACTGCTGCTGACTGAAGCTTGTAGCTGATTAGAGAGGACTTGAAGATGGATATTGATGCAGAGCTGCTGTGGCTGTTTATTTTGATGTATTTCATTTCTTGATGTATTGATTGGTTTTCCTGACTGTATTGTTTGCTGTTTACCCTGTTGGGTTGAAAGTGAAGCCTGTTCACTTTTGCCTATTGTTTTCTAGGTTCGAGGTTGAGTGGGACTCCCTTGCCTCGCTTGTATTGTTGCATCCATGTATTTTACTGCTTTACTGTATATATATCTGATATTGTTTCTGTTTCTGCCTATCCCTTAGGATCTCTGTTTCTCTCTGTGCAAGAGAGGAGCATGATAGACACTAGATCTTAACCCATGCATGATAACATTAGGATAGTTTGTTTCCCTTCGCAACCGTAGGATAGAGTTCTGTCTCTTCTTCCTCAAAACAAACAGAAAAACACATAAAGATTTCAAACACAATAAAAGACACTTCTTCCGTAAAAGAATGTGAACTCATCAAAACGTTATTTTTGTCCGCCGGGACTGTTAATCAGAAAAACCTTTTTCAGAAGGAATAAAATCAACAGACAGACCTGTGTCTTCCGTGGCCCGAACTACGTTTGCTCTGATCTTCCATGCTGTGTGGAAGTACGTAGGCATAGGATGCGATATCCTAGCGAGCAACCTTCCCCTCCTTTCCCGTAGGTAGGCGAACTACGTTGACTCTGATTTCTCGTTCCAGGCGGGAATACGTAGGCATAAAGTGCGATACTTTGCCGAGTCATTTTATTTTCATTCTCTTTTCTTTTTAACCCCTGACCTTTAGAGTAGATAGAATAACAATCCATACCCGAAAACAAGCGTGGATCCCGTCGAGTACGACGGACGTGAGGGGTGCTAATACCTTCCCCTTGCGTAACCGACTCCCGAACCTGAGATTTGGTTGCGACGACCGATCTTATCCCTTTTCGCTAGGTTTTTCCTGATCTTTTCCTTTGCCTCCTTTGGGATAAATAACGATAGGTGACGACTCTTCTGTCTTTGACGGCACCCTTTTTTCGCAGTAGCGACACATAGCATATAGGTGCAACTGCAGAAAAAACATAATTTGATGATAAGTTGCAACCATGAATTAAATTATACCAATACCAATAATAGATTCTATGTAAGAACTTACCAACTGAAATAGCAGTAGTGCTCCTCTGGTAACTGTTATATATCACAAATTATTAGCATTGATTAGTCATAAGTAATTCATTAAAATATGTCTAATTCCACCAATGGGTTGGAAGAATATCTGTTTGAATATTTTTAAAATACTTGCCTGGTGGGACATTTTCAGGAAAAGAAACCCTTGCTTTCAAACTAATCAAGTAATCCCAGCTGAAATCAATTATAAACATGAAAACATTCAACTTGTTGAGACATCCCCAATCCTACAGTTACAGTCAGTTGCTCTCGGCTCTTGGGCATGCCCTATAATATACACCCTCATGCCTATACATGAAAAGACAGAGGAAACGAAGCAACTTACAGGACAAGAAGAATATGCCCATTTTGAAATACAGGAACAATGGAAAGAATGATTGCATATGGTTGTAAGAATTCCACTTGTGTCTTGATCTAATCACTCTACAAAATAACAAAATGAGGCCAATATTTAAAACTTTCTATTTAAACATTTAGCATATGCCAATGAATAATTCATTCAGAAGGTTCCATACTTGCAAGACAAACAACAACAACAAAGCTGACAACAAAAAAACATATCTAAAACAAAACAAAAAGTATATGAATACTGCATTATGAGCGAGTTTGAAAAATTCTCCAAATGCACGTATAGGAAACCAAGTTACAAAATTGCAATAACATTGAGTTTTGTAATCAACTGATCCTCTCCTATAACTTTAAATTAGCTTCTACATTTCAATTTTTTCATAAGCTCTATTATTTAACATCTTGATATATACTTCTAAAATAATTTTGAAAGCAAGCTACACTATAAAAGGCAGCCTAACATAATAGAAGGGACATGTAATTACCAAGGCAAACTGGACATGTTGGCTGTTCAGTTGAAGTCACATTAGAAGGTTGTGCATGTCCAATGGAGCCTGTATACTGAACATCTAATGTAAAAACAACATGGCACACCTCAACCTATATATATTCAAATCAAACACAACAAAATCAATAAATAGAAAAACAAAAACAAAAACTCATTACAGTATAGTGAAATCAATCGAGAAATGAATAAATAGAAACCTCAAGAGATGAGAAACGTCAACCATTATAATGAGTGTAGAAAGCATCCATTGGGTTAGGTATTTTATCACAAAGCTGCAATATCACTCATGAGATTATAATTCAGAGGGGAAAGTAGGATTTTAGAACTCATAACAAAATTAAAACTAAATTACCGCATCGGCGTAGTTTATTATCTGCTCTTCTGTTTGATTCTGCTTCAGCTGGCTTTGCATCCAAACGATAGCCATTTCACATACAGAACATGTAGCATCTTGATGACCGCCCGATGATATTCTATCAGTTTGTGGCACCACACTCTGGATACCCATACTGAAAGAAAAATTGAAAGATTTCAATAAAAGAGCATTAACAGTAGTACATTAGAATTATGTAGCACTGACACTTCGACTTAAATGCACGTCTAGTGTTTGATAAGTCTTAGTGTTCAACACTGACACGATAACCATGTAGTTTCATTCAATCACTTCTACTCTTTCAAATTAGTGTTGTTTATGTCAATGCTTCATAGCATTAGATACAATAAGGTCTTTAAGTTAATAGCATAATCTTTGTGGCTTACCTAACACCATGAGTCCCATCAAACATGCACATTCCAATTTGGGAGCATACCTTCTTTGGCTGTGTCTGCAAGGACCAAGTGAAAACCATAAGAAAATGCGTTCTGAATAACATACCTGCAAAACATTTCATGGTTATCAGCAATCTTCGTATTTGAATATTTGAACAATCGATCTAACATCTTTGACTCATGTTAGACATTGTTTTCCATTTCACGCTAGCAATCATGAAAACTTCGAATAAAATATAGGTAAGTTAGGTGAGTTCAACATTTATAAGGGGCCATATCAAACATCATCTGAATCATCATTGGACTCGCATAATGGAGGATGCACAGCAACATCACGACTAAGGTAGCAGCTACTATCGTACACTCCGAAGCCTACCCTCATGTCCATTACATTTCTTAAGTTCAGCTTCTTCCAATTGAAAGCATGGACATAACTATCAATCATTTCATACCAATATTTTGATTCGGACTTAAAGAGTTCATTTCTGGATATAACAACATCCATTTTGATGCTTTGAAGTCTGTTCGGTGGTTGATGGAGGCGTGAAGGCCAGTTAGTTACATTCGCTCAATATCCATTATTAGGCAATTGAGTTATGCATGCCTTAATAAGCATACATATAATCAATCACATGCAAGTTTATGCCTCTTAATGTTGGACTGAAAAAATAATCATACATATAATCAATCACATGCAAGTTTATAAAAGATATTGTTGCTAAAAATCAGATAAAAAAACCTGAAAAATTACTATTTCCGCGGCATTTCTCATAGATTTGTATCTTCGGTTAACAACGCTAACGATTTTTTTGCAGAAGCCTAACTCTTGGATTCATTTTCACAGTTTCATCTAGGAAAATTTGCATGTAAATTGGATAAAAGGTCAATAGTACTACTGAAACCTGAAATTCATAAACCATGATTAAGATTCATAATTAAACCTCAAGACAAAACTGAGTGAACAAAGATTGGTACCAAAAAAATGTAGTTTTGAGGAAGGAATCGAGCCAGGACGTTCCCGAGAACATGTGAAGCAGAAAGTAGACCAGTAATCCAACTAAATACTGCTGCTCTTTTGTTTTCATTAACAACATCTGCCACATACGCAACAGAAATGCAGAAGATAAGTCATTTAATTATGAATAAGGGACTCAAAATGTAAGCAATAAAAGAAGTCATTTAATTATGAATAAGAGACTCAAAATGTAAGCAATAAAAGAAGTCATTTAATTATGGAAATGTGAAATGATGTAAATTAGCTATATCAACTTATAGTAGTATTCTGTATAAAGGTGCAGACTGCAGCATGTAGCCCAAAATTTAAGTAACAATAAGAATGGCTTGTTGGGTTCCTAAACAATGAAGGATGACCTACCCACTTCCTTGTTATTTTATAAATGAATTAACATGACCTCGCCTATTGTAGTTCAAACCAAACTAATTGTTTATCCCCAAAAACAAACCAGTTCAAACTCAGGTGTCGGGACACAAATGCAAGGAAGGAGAGCAAGACAGAGAGACCTAGTCAAACCTTATGCCCGAAAACGAAGGAAAAACGTTTAGTCTGAATATCACGCAAGCATAAACAGATGATCTTTCTTGACTTTGCAAAATTTATATTCCACTGAACGAAGAGATAAAATTTTACCGGTCAATAGCAATCGACCACGTGCTGTCTATGAAATCAGTGGCTGAAAGCAATTAAATCAGTGGCTGAAAGCAATTCAGCTGGCCAAGCCAATGCAGTTAAAAGTGAACTCAAGACAATTAGCATTGCCCCTTGCCTCATCAACTCCATCGCAAGTCCTAACACATCACAAAAATATTGATATCATTCACGAGTCTACTTAAAAATATTTAAAAACATTGATAGCCTGAAATGCCATGTTTATGAGCAGTAAAATGCCTCACAAGCCTCTCCAAACACCAATCAATATACATTCCCTTCGAAGTAGCCTGCAAAAAATACATATTAAGAAAACTTCAATAAATTCTCAAATGGCTTCATCTACAAATTACGTGGATTGAAACCACAACCAAGAAACCGCAGCTTGGGAGGGAAAATGAAAACCAACCGAGCTGTGTGAGAGAAACTGCACCTCGAAGCATATGTAAAATGATGAAATATGAAGCTAACCATCAACTTGGGCGACGATGGATTGCATATCTTTCTCAAACCTTCACCAAATACCAAAACCATCAAAAACCCTAAAAACCACACAGAAATTAAAAATTTTCCAAACTTTCACCATAAAACACAAACATAAACTAAAACCAAATCTCATAACACACAATCAAATAAAAACCTCCATCCAAATCAAAACAAAAACGAAAAAAAATTGTTATTTACCCAAACCAAATCAAACCCCTTTGTTCAAAGGATAAAAAATACAGAAAGCAATCAAATCAAAACCACAACCTATAAATAGATCTCCATCTTCTTCTTCGTTTGAAATAAACACCACAATCCACAAGCATATATCCTTCTTCTTCGCATAATCTGATTTTGAGAAGAAACATTGAAAATAAGAAGGGTGTAAAGCAACAATGAGAGAATTGAAAAACCAGGAAAACAAATTAA